TCCATTCAAGATATTGATGTGAATGTTTTTAACATATAAATATTAAACAACATTAATTTATAAAAATAATTAAATATTTTTTTTATTTTGCAATAAATATTGAACTAGAATAAACATTTTGGTTGCGTAATATGACTAATTGTTTTATATTAGTTGTTTATATTATAAATGTGCGATATAACATTAAAGTCACTTATGCACTACTTTATCATAATATTATGTGTTATAAAGATATTCTATAGGTAGTTAATAGGCACTTATCATCTATCGTTTAGTAAAATGTACTTTACGTTAAACGAAATTCAGAAACATTGGAAAGTTTTTGAAAGTCTTTAACGACATCACGTTGATGCTTTTGCAAAAGCTCTCCGTGATGTATTAATGTTATTAAAAGTATTCACGAGTATTTACAATATTTTATGGTTCAATATTTTATATTATATGCTATAGTGTTGGATTTTACGAAGGGTTTTAATAGCTTATAATATAATACTTGTCTCGAACCAAAGTTTTGAATTAGATATCTACTTGTATTTTATCCAGTAAAAAAAATATTAGTATAAAAATAATGTTTAATCATTTATATTTCAAATATTATTAATATTATGTTTATATGTCTAATATATAATTATTATTTATTACTTATATTCTAAATAAAAACTAATTGTACGAAGGTATTAAATTAACCTAAACTATTTACATAGAATTATTATTTGAATCTTATACCGAGATTTGTGATTATTTTATTTGAATTATAATATGATTTATGGAGATTTTCGATTTTTTTTCAGGTGTTAAAGCACGTTTTGCTTCTAAGAAATTATTTCCAATGTGCTCACTTTATTCTCATGAGTTCAGAAAAATGTAAAAATACAAGTTCTGTAATCATTCTTAAACTATTTAAAATAAAATTCGATTCTTGGATGCAAAGATAATTAAAATTTAGTATGTGATTTTTATTGGTTCTATAATAAAAATCATACTGAGTTCTTTTTCTGAGTAACTTGATTGCAAATAAGAAATAAAATGAATATTTAAATGCATTTAAATGTGTACGAATATTGCATATTGAATTACCGAACGAGCACAAAATGTAGTATTAGAATTAGGTTTATTTTTCAAAAGATCAGAAATTTGATATTTATATCAATTTATAGATTTTTGTTAAATCACGTGTACTATAAAAAAACCTTAAGTTTTAAAAAGTTGCTTATCTCTGATTCATTAATTTAAAATGTAAAACTGAGATGTATTTCTAATAACAAATAGTGTTTTTTCTGTTTCAATAAACTAGCAACTTCTTTTAAGGGGCTAATGTAATCTAGGACTTGTAGCTAATTTAAATCGATTGCAATTATAATTAAATTTTATAAAAGTATTACTATATTAGATAACTGTTGTATTAAGCGGTTTGGATTGATAAAATAAAACATGTCAGCTATTTCGTTTCACCTATAACATTCTGTGACCGTTTTTAACCACATTAGGACAATTTTTTTTTATTCCATCACCATTATTAACGTATAAAGGTTTATAAACTATCATGATACGACTCTCCGTTATTACCATCATATAAATCCAGCGCAATAATGGCAACGTGTGTACCAATGACGATAAAACCGTCGTCATAACGTGCTTTACCAGGGATCCTCGATTAATATTTTTGTAGGGCGGGCCAGTTATAAGTTTAGAAAGTTTTTAAGAGTCATCGAAATTCAATTAACATAATATTTAATCAAAAATGGTAAATTAATAATCAAATCTAATTAAATGCTTTGTTAAATTTATCATTTAAATAATAATTTAAAAATAAACTTCCTGTCAGTGGCTTAGACATGAATTTCATTCACGATTTGCCATATTTGATAGTGATTCCTGTGCTATTAAATTCCCTTATATACAATATTATAATTGGAGATCGTGTTAAATTGCATTAAAAACATATAAAAATGAAAACTAACTTAGTTAGATTGTATAATTTCATAGAAAAATACGTAAAAATGTTACTATAAATATGCAAATTATACAATAAAGTTAATTTCATTAATATGATAAAATCAATACAAAATATAAGATTTATGTTATTTTTTAGAATTAAAATTGATAATTAAATATATTTCCAACTTATGTCTTATAATAATTAAAATATTTTCATAAAAAAAACCGCATTCTATGTTTACAGTTGTTGGTGTATATTTAAATTTTAAAACAATTTTGCAGTAAATTAGGCGTTATATCTAAATTATAGTGCTCTTTATTTAACATGAGCCAGCCCTCATATTTAGAAGTGAAAATATTTCTAAAAATCTTAACCACCTTCTCCTGATAAAAAATGTTATTATTATAATATAATGTACTGTCAGCCTACCTGTATCATATATTAAACACAATGACACGCTCCATTCAAAATCTAAAAGCGTCATATGTAAATATTTTTTTCTTTAGGGGGTGCCATCGCATATCCTGCAAAACTCTGGTTCCGCCTATGCATTATATCATTGTAAGATTTAATAGTTTTATATTATTCATTTTTTCAATAGCATTCATAAATTTATCTTTCATTTTTTTTTTTTGCATTCAGAATATTTGTTAGAATAACTTAAATTTTACTTTCAAATGTACAATATTCATATACAACTCAGACAACTGTAATTTCATTAATGTAAACCAATGTGTTTTTTTGTACCAGTTATTTCAACGATATAATACTTAAGGTATCGTCTTTTAAACTTTTAACCAAATTTTTAAATTTGTTAATATAATTTAAATAGTAAACGCAGTATTTACTAAATTTCTTCTTAGAATAATACGTTTTAAGGTAAATACGCATTATTATAAATTCTGTAGGAAACAGTTATATGTTATAAGAACGATTTACGATAAGTACCTTACAAATTGCTGAAAATTAAAAATAAACGTTGTCTTAATAATGATTTTATGTTGTGAACACCGGTTACCTGCTTGTATTCTACATTATACATATTAATAGCCTTTATATCATAAAGTTAGTCAATAAAATAGTTTGGTCATCGAAACACATAAAACACTCAAAACTGCAATATATAATGAAATAGCTAGGGAGAATACATTATACTGTACCTATATATTTGGCTATATTATATTTGATTTATTTAGCGATAAAAAAATGTGTCAGAGTTATTGTAACATTAATTAAATCCGGTCTTTATATCATATTAAACTTGATTTTAGTGAGCCAATACTAAATTCATGCGTGAACCGTCTATTTATAGGGACCCGAGAGGCTTAAAAATGAAATTATAAGCCCTCCTCGAGTCCCGAGGAATCTATTGTTGATATAATTTTTGTCGGAAACGACCCAGCAGTATTTAAGTCGACCGAGTACGAACAAACAAATAAACGAACAGATAATAATTATTATTATATACATGTGTGCTTAAAATTGATTTATCCTGTCCCCGAAAAAGTTGTAATAGCAATATTGAATCTTTAATACTATATAACGTAAAATCAAATGTTCGCATCGTTTTCGCATTACAGGTGTGTGATCGGCGGCGGCGGAGGCGATGGCCGCGTACGGCGTGTACGGTAACGGCAGCTGTGGCGGTGACGTTTACACGCATGGCGACGACACCGATCTGTATCACCAAGTGGTGGTGCTCTCGAAACCGGACGGTTCGTGCGTGCGGAGCCAGGCCAACGGCAGTGGCGGCGGCGGTGCCACCACCGTGGAAACCGTCAACGGACGGTATAACGGCGATTACCCGCACCAACAGCAGCCGTACGACTCTGGCGGTGCCGGTGCCGGCGGCAGCGGTGGTGGTGCGGGCGGCCAGCGCCGTCACCGCCGGTCGTTCTGGTGCCGGACCACCACGCTGGCCACCATCAGCGCCTTGCTGGCCACGATGTTTTGCGTCACGTGCGTCGTCTTCGTCTACTACAACTGTGAGTACAACCACATGCATCGCGTCCGCATGTCGTCGTTATCGCTAAATATCGGCTTCCATAAAGTCCTGAACGCACGATAATTGGTGGACGCGACACGAGACGGACGTCGTCATGACTTCGGAAGTCGCCCGCCGGGATCGAAGTTTTATCGTTCGTTCACCGTCCGCGAACCGGAACGATGTCTATGTGCCGCGGAGATTGTTCCATATTAATTATTATCACTATTATAATACGATTGGTTGGGGGGGGGGGCGGCTTGTGCGGGTCGGCGGCACGTTAGGTCGTCGGACACTCGACGGCGTAATAATATATCGAATTGCAACGACCCACGCGCCCGTGTCGTACGTGATTTCGTGTGATGATATTTGTTTGAAAAAATAATTTCTAACACTCATCCATTTTTCATCCATTTTGGTGGTCCCGAATGCTTATTCTTTTTATGATCGTATACAGCGCATGCACATATTATAATGTACATAGTAAGTACATACGTATATGTACATAGTTTCATCAGTAATGATCGGGGCAACGCATTCTAAGTATATATTTCGTTTCGTGTAACAGATACTTCAGAGACGAAACTTTTAATTTTTTCTTTTTTTTTTTTTATATAACTCTAAGGTCGTTTTATAATTTTGAGTGCATAATCATATTAATGCGTTATAAGAACTTTTTGTGTAAATTGAAAAAATTTGAAATGTCATATCAAGTTATAGTGTTTTCATAATTTTTGTTTCAATAGTTCTTTTAGGTTGGTATTTTTAATCCGTATCAGATTTCAATCGTTTTATATGTTCGAAATGTTTGAATGCGGTAACGTCTTTAATTTTTCCAACAGTTATCGGACGTGGTGTCTTACCGGGGCTCAAACAAATGACAAATAATTATTGATCAGTTAAATACATCGCGATTACATTTATTTTCAGTATAGTTACTGTTTATTTATTATATACATGACAAGTTTGGCATATGGTCTTTTTATCATTTTTAGTTAAGATAAAAAATTTTTAAAAATGACGAAAGTTAAGTCATCGTTTTTCTATTACTTGCGTAGTTGCATGTCAATAAAAATATATTGGTATTTTTTTAAGGGCTTTAGGGTATTAAATTCAGGCCTTAGTAATAATTAAATTCCAGAACGCAATTGAGATGTCTATATATTATAGTATAATAAAATAATATAACTTTAATGATAATTTATTCAAAAGTATGTTATGTTATGAGTATGCATCGTATAATATTGGGTAATTTACTATTCGCTGGTGGACTGAAAAAAGGAAGAAGACAATTTGCTAAGAAAATATAGTATAGCATTATAAAATTGTGATTATAATATACTCAATAATTATTAAACAACGAATAACTGTCTGTCTACAGAGAATATATCATTATCAAAACTGTAATAGGTTTAGATTTTCATTATATAATATAATATATATATATTATAATAGTACATTAACTGGTAATAATTGTATACATAATTAACATACATTTTTGATAAATAGCCACTTTGGATGGGGAAAGTTATTAAAATCCATGCCTGGATTGATAGAAAATATTGTGTACTTAGTAAGCGAACAGTGAACATATCATTTTTATTAAATAAGTACTCATATAAAAACCAATAAGACTAACCGAGAGAGAATGCAAAGAGTTACGGCCGGCGATGGAACGAATTGTAGGTGTGTGTGTGTGTGTGTGTGTGTGTGTGTGTGTGTGTGTGTGTGTGTAGAAAGGAGGGGGTAAAGTCAAAAGAGATTTATCACCGGAGATAAAAACAATAATAACATTTTTCGTAAATATTATCTTGTTATACGCGTAGCGTTTATGTAATATATCGATGACAATATATAAGTATAACGAGTGCGAAGTTAGCCCCTTTAATTAATCACATAGCTTCCAATTACTAATAGCAGATTCCTGTTTCCAAGGTGATTATTTTTGTGTAGAACACAATAATTGTCTCAAGTAATTTTTGTTTTCAAGAATTTTTTTTCGAGACTATTAG